GTAGTCATACAGACTTTGAAGTCATACAGACTGGTAAAAGACTAGAGCTTATTTCAGCTTGTTTTTGGATGACTTTATTTAATCATTAAATCTCAATCACCTCACCTGTGAAGTGGGAAAAATGCCTATCTCATTAGATTATTGTGATTATTAAATGGTGTAAAGCAGCTAATAGGGAACCAGTAATGGTAATTATATTCCCACTTATATTTCTTTTGGCCCAGCCTAGAAAGAGAAAGGAACAAAGGAATTGTTCTACATTTTAATTTTTGGCTATGAAATTGCAGGTTACACTCAAATAATAGGTTTTTTTCCTCTCCATACATTTAAGAGCTGGTATGATTATAGTGAAATAAGTTTTGTCCAGTTGTAAGTTTTTAACTTTTTACAATTAGATTAGAGCATTACAGTTCAAATTTATTTTAAGTATTAAAATTATTTGTTAAGTTACAGATTATTTAGCTGAGAGATGAACAGACTTTTATCTTTTTGTACTGGAGAATACTTACCATGTTTGTAAGGTTGAACTAAATTTTCATTAGAAAAGAAAAAAAGAAGTGTCCTCTTTTTTTTTGTTTTAAGACCAGTCTACACTCTAAAAACATGATCTTAACCCTTCCTCTATGAAAATCTTTCTTACAGATAATGATTTTAAATGATATGATTTGTTTTTTGCTTTTGCATAAGAGGTAATTAAAGAAAAAGGACTAGAACACGTTACTGTTGATGACTTGGTGGCTGAAATCACTCCAAAAGGCAGAGGTAAGGAATACAAATCGTGTCAAAGGAAACATATGCTGCTGACATGATTTTTTTTTTTCGTTCCTTTCCAAAAGTATTTGGGTACTTCTATTGCCTCACATAGGAAGAGATATACTTGCCTACTTGTCTCTCTAGCATAGTCTTGAGTAACAGATGAGATAGTATGAAATGTTTTAGCACTCTAAAACAATGTACCAATGTAAGTTAATACAGTTAAGACAGATAATTTTTTAAATATGTAATTATATAGAGGCAAATATTACCTGAAGCTAGGATTTATAAACTTTATCAGATATGGCCTATTTAAATATTTAATAATTCAAAGTCTTACTCCAGCCCCTGAGTCATTGCTTCACTATCTTTCCTTATTAAAAATAAACGAATGTCTATCTTCTTGAATGTCTAATTAAGAATTTGGTAGCTGAACAACTTTATGTTCAGGATAATCCACATTTCAGACTCACAATTTAACCACCTTCTTAAATTCTACCTTTAATGCCTTGTTTATAGAAGACAAAGGAAAGATAGGAAATATTGTATTAACACTGATACATACTAAATATTAAGTCAAGAACTACATCATTATCTCAGAGTTAGCTACATTATCTTCATTTATTTTGATAAAGTTGGTGTTTTATATTTTTTTCATCATAAGTGAAAGCAGGTAAATTAGATGGCCCATAAATCGTTTTCTCACATAGAAATAGTAAAAAGAATTTGAGCAGAAAAAGTAAGTTTGAAACTATTAGTATAGAACACTTAATTCTCTGAACTGCTACCTGCTGGGAAGAAATTACAGAACCCATCGTCCTTTTAAAGCATCTCTTTAGGACTGTTTACAGCGTACAACGATGACTTTTTCTTCAAGTATGTCCTAGGGAAAGAAAATTTTAAAAACTTTTTTTGTTCCCCTTACGAATTTATATTTTAAAATAATTTTCTATAATTCCTTTTTCTTTTTTTCTCCTGTAATTTATATTTAATCTGTTAATATATTTAGGAACTGGTTATACAGGTTAGAAATTATGCTTTGCTTCTCCTTCGACACTTGTATCTTGGATATTTCGCTCTCTCGTAGCTCCCCTGCTAAAGAAGGGCAAATAAAGAAAAATAAAATAAAACTTTTTTATATGTTTTTATTCTTATAGTCAAGAGTAGACTTTTTTTTGTAGTTAACATACAGTAAAATTGGTCTTTTTCTAATGTGCAGTTCTGTGAACTATATGCTCATGTATGGATTTATGTAACCACCACCATAATCAGGTTACAGAACAAACAGTTCCCTTACCCAAAAACCTCTCTCGAACTATCCCTTTATAATCGCACCCTATCCCAAGGCTACTGATCCATTCGTGATCTCATAATTTTGATTAAAATTATTTTTCATGTACATATTATATTTCCAACGGACTTGAATTAATTATATAGTCTTTATTTGTAGGTTGGCTAAAACTAAACCATTTATAAAGTTAAGGAGTATCCGCCTTATTTGATTTGTGTATTTATTTGTGTGAAACTTTATAGAAATATTGAACTATATCCGAAGTTTTCCGTTTCTTCTGGACATCAGTGTGTACGTTAGATATTTTAGTTAATTCCTGTTTTTTGTGGTTTTTTGTATTTTTTATTTAATATTCTGAATAGATAATACAGTTACATGGGTCAAAATTCAGAAAGTAA